ATGCCACAATAAAAAAAAAAACTCACAGAAAACTAAGTGACAGTAATCAAGCTGTTTTTATGTGGGGAAAATTATACATAAATATAATATATAAATATAAAATGTAAGTTCCACTGTCTTGTTTTAAACATCCACCCTTGATTTTTCCAGAAATAAGTAAGAAAAAAATCCAAAAAGCACCCCCCCCGCCAATGAAGCAAAACTATTGAAAATATTAGAACTATCATTCACATTTTCAAAATTCTTTCTTTGGATTTGCCTTTTCTCAGCCTATTCTAGGGTTGCTCTAAATCAAAGCTGCAACCACACCAGAGGCAGAGCACAGCACCTCAGCAGAATGGGCTGTCCACAGCACATCACATCCTCTCCAGCCTCCTGGAACCTGTACATTCCTGTCTGCTTCTGGATGGGACTCAAAGATGACACCAGAAATGTTTAAAGCTCTGCCTGAAACTTAGTCCTGCAAGAAACTTTCCTCCCTCTCAGAATATTTTGTGTGGAGTAAATATAGAATGAAAAACTAAATATGAAACTTTCATTTGCAAGCTCTTTGGAAGAGCTCACCCAGGCAAACAGTCAGACGAAGGCTAGGAATGACAAATCAGACCTAGTTTAGGAATGTATCAGACTAAAAGTATATTTGAGTCCTGCAAATAGTGTCCAGGAATTTCCCCTTACTATGTTCCTACAATAGCAAATGATTTGGACAATGGTGATGATGCCCTATTTCTGCTCATTTGAATTGTGGGGGTTTGTATTTTACTATGAATCTTAAGTATACAATTTGCCATTTTTCCCCCTTTTTTCTTTTTGCCTCTCGTGAACATGAATGCATAGAACAGATTATACGTATATAATATAAATGCACAGCTTCTAAACAAAACTGTCTCTGGCATTGTCTCTTGTTAACTAGGAGACTGAGATACAGGACTATCAGTCAGGTAGTCCCTCACATTCTTGTTTTTTATGGTCCCATCTATTTTAAGTCCTTCATAATGCATATAAACCCCTTCCAGTTTTATAGGCATTCACTAAACCAGTGATCCAGAGGCTTTTAAGAAGGTAGATTTAAAAGGAGAAAAAAAAAAAAAGAGCAGGGGAACTGCTAAACCCTTCCTCTTGTGGCTCATGACCCAGCCAGGACCAACAATAAATGTTCAGCCTGCTCTTTGGATCAAGTAACTGAAATGCAGCTGTGCCTCCTTCAGCCGCATCAACTGAGCTAACAGGAAATACTGTGTGTTTGGACAAACTTTATGAAGGCAGCGTTCAGGTAATTCTAGGCAAGGGAGATACAAGAACACAAGTGCAATCCTCTCGCTATTTTTTTCAATCACAACACAGTGCCAGAGGTCTGCACTGAAGTGATTACAAACAATACCTTAAGACAGCAAATAAGAGGTAATCCATATCTCAGTATGCTTGCATATAGGAAGGGCATGCAGATCACATACAACAGCAAAATAATTCCAAAGGCTAGAGAAATGCAATTATTCTGTATCCTTATACCTTGCTGAAACATGCAGAGTCACACATTCATTGTCATCACTAGCTGCTCAGGAACACATTTCTTGCTTGAAAAACAACAACGAATTTGGTGAGGTAACAAGGTGGAAGTGAGATAGGGAACCAAAGTCTAGACTGTCCCATGCTGTGCTGTAATACCAGATGCCTGGCTTTTTCAAAAGTTGTCAGACTAATTAGTATTTTACAGTTTCAAACAGAAAATAAGAAAGGAATTGTAATTTTGAGCCTACTGTTCTATGAAAATTCTTTACTTCTATAGGTGGTTGCAACAAAAGAGTATTATCCCTTTTTAGTTTTTTAAGCAATGTAATCTTATGTGACATGTGGCACAGAACAGAACAACCCAGATTTCCTGAGAAGACATGAACTTTGGACTAGCACACAACGAACACCTTGCTGGTTATATCTGCTTTAAAAAAAAATTACTTTCTGAAGCTCGAGGTAGTTCTATCTGCTTTGCTGCTTGCTTCAGCATGTAGGTCAAGTAAATATCTCGTTCCGAGACAATCGTTCGATGAAGATCAGGAAATTCTCCAATCATTTCTGCCATCATCTGCTCCAGTAAATCCTTCTGTTTGCATTTCTCCACATCATCTTTACTGAAAGAAAGGTAAGTTTTCTCAGTATCTCTTATGCTTTTAAAGCCCAATACAGACAAACCAATGAATAAAAACAACTGAGTATTATACACATTATTCACATAAACCCTCACTCCACAGTTCTCCTCCCCCAGTTCTCCTCTTCAAAAGCAAACTAGCTAACTTCAAAAGCAAACTCCCTAAACCTGTAAAACTGGATACCTAACAATACCTCTACAGTGAGGGAAAGGGAAAGAAGAGAGGTCACTTGCCTTTAGGCAGTACAACTGGATTTTCACCCTTCTCAGTTTGAAAGCTGATAACTCAACTGAGCAAAAGCACTAGAGCTTCAAAGGAAATAAGTTATCACAGTGCCCCACTTTCGATGTATATTAGTAAGATTAGAAGAGGCAACACAGAGCACTCCTGAGGAAGCAAATCTGATCACTGAACACACAGAGGCTCTGTTTAAAGAAAAAAGCACACCGTAAAGCACAGTCTGAGGAGATGGAAAGAGTTATGCAGGTTCCTAGTGTCAATCACAGGTCTTCAGCAGGGAAGTCAGTTATAAATCAATTCCCTGAACAGAAGAATAGGAAACGGGCAGGAAATAAACAAATAAAAACTGCAGGAGTAAATGTAATGAGCTTTTATATTTTTATAGGTGATGTTAAAACTTCTGTTTGCACCCACAGTTGTGGTATAGCCATAGTTTGTGGCAACAAAATCATCTGGTTTGGCATCACTGTCTACTGAATAATGATGACAAACATGCTTTTCTTTAGTTTCCAAGATCAAAAGGACACTACAAATGTCAACAAGGACAACCAAAAAGAGAAATGCATTGCTAGCTTTCAACAGATCATAGAAAAGCTATCAGACTGACACAAATATGATGCTCAATTATGACTCCATTTTCTGTAGAATCTCATGCTGATGCTGGGAGCACAATACCCCCCCCCTCCCCAACAACTTCCCAATTATAAACACCTTTCCTTTAAAACCCATACCCATGGTATTTTTAAAAACCAACATAACAGATCGATCAATTGTACAAGGACAACTGAGACATTACATCCAAGCTTCAGTGGGAAGCTAGTGTGCGTACACCGTAATTATCCTAATATTGCAGGTGAAAACCAAAATGTTCTTAGGATGGATGAAAGAATGAGAGAATTTCCAGAGAAATATATTCTCCAATGCCCCCCAAAAACCTGCAAATAGCTTCCTGCTGGTATTAGACTAGTAGGTAACAAGACTGACTTTGCACATGAACTGCAGTTAATGGATTGAAAGAGGGTAAAACTCATTTTACAGATGAATGTAACAGCAAGTATTTACAGGAAAGGACAATTAAGTAAATACTAAAACTGGAAAATGGAAGGTTTGATTGACCAGACTACAGTTTGAGCCCTGGCCCAATTTTAAAAGCTTGGAAAAAAAATGCCACAGATCACTTCATGAGCTGTGCAGAGCTCTGGCCACAGGGTATGAGAAAGGCACTGAGATTTAATGCCCACGTGCACAGGGAACCCATTTCTGGCAAGCCTCCCACCACTGCGAATCTGGTAAAAGCAGATTGAATTTAGGAGGACAGCTGTGCACGTGTTCTCACCCAGTACAAACAAGTTATCGCACACTTACGCGTGGAAAGAGGAAGCAAACTTGGCACAGGGATGTCTCTGAAGGGCAGGGGAAACCAAACTGAGCTAGAGAATAGTCTGTGAAATATTATCGTAAAGCAAAAGTTCTTAACAACACCCCTTTATAAAGGCAATAATCATTAAGAGTCCACATGCTGCCCACAGACTTTAAACATTTTCTCTTGTTCCAAAAATCTGCTCACACAGCAGATTCACTTCTCAAACTGCCCTGATCCAGATGTGACTTAGCACAGCTGGCCCAAGTCCTTTGGAAATCTTAAGAAGGTATAAATTAGCATAGCAAGGCCCTATTCTCTTCTATTTACAATATCCACACACAGTAGTGGGAAAGATTTTATTTTCAGCATACAAATAAAAAATAATTTTAAAAAGTCTTTTTCTTAAGTACACTAGGAATTCTTCGGCACCAAATCTTTTACGTGATCTAGAACTAATGTATCAGAAGAAAATTAAAGAAAGAGTTGGAACAAGATCAGAAAGCCAGCTTTCTTTTAAAAAATATGGATTATTGCAGGGTAGTTTGTATATTTATCCTTCTGACTAACTTCAAGTTTCACTGCATCAGGCTGGGTACTGAGGACTTCCAGCTCATACTAAAGTCAAACTGAAGAATTTAACAAGTCACCCTGATAAACACATGTGATGCTTATTCATACCTGATTGGGTCAGATAAGAAGCAAAGGCCCCAGGCAAGCTTGACTTTTTGCCAGAAAGAAAGTGCAGCAATTGCTCTCTTAAATGTAACAGGGATGGGTCGATCTCCAAGGTGGAATTTACAAAAAGGTACTTTACTGGCCTGAAAGGGAAGATACAAATCACTAGTCAGCATTTCATACTGCAGCACAGTACATCCTTATTAAGAGGACGTTATTGTGTTATACAACGTATCTTAACAAAGAGCAAGTAGTGTCATACTTCAACATCAAAAAATATTTTGGCTTTGCAGTAAATAAAATTTCCAAAATACTACTTCATCAAGGAATACAACAGCTACAAGATGCAGTAGATATTACAGTAAAAACATGAAGTTGTAATACCACCCTCTTTAAGTTACTTTTACCTAAGCAGAAAGCTCCTGCTTATGACCGCTTAAGGTGAACAGATGGGGTTCAATATCTGTCTGGGTCTGAATAAAGTCTAAGGTGAAACAACTGCAGTCATTTTGCTTTTACCTAGATTAGTGATCCTGACAAACCCTATCAGTTTGTCACAGCAAAATATATTCAAGGAGGAGCTTATGAAACAAGAACTGATGCCAGATACATGACAATGTGAGGTGAGACTTTGCTGTAGCTTATACTGACAAATTTTAGAACAGTATGAAATTTCTAGAAAATTCTTTCCTATGCATACCTGTTTAAAAATTTCAAACAACTACTTTAGAACAGGACAGAGCTAGTATATATATATTTTTTTTTCTTGCCCCCTTAAAATGGGAAACAAAATGTTTCATTCTAGTCTGGAATGCTCTGGAAAACAAGCCTTGAAACAGTTTTATTTTTATTAAGGATAAAGAATCTGGAATAATTTAGCATATTTAACAGCTATGTTGTTTCAGATTTCCTTACTAGTACCTAATTTACATAAAAATAGCAAGATACATTCTGCAGTGAAAATAGTGTCTCGCTACTCCCAGACAAAAAAGAACAGCTGTGACACACAGTAGAAGTCCAGCTACTATTTACTTCCCAGTATCACAGTGGGCAGTAGTACAAAAGGGAGCATTAAAAGACCAGATAGGATTAACAGACCAGTCAGTTATTTCACTTCCCCAAACAATCTTTCTAGATGAATGTGTTAGATCTCATTAATGCTTTAGAGTTGGTTTTCACAGCCTGAAACCTTGACACCACCAACTGTGGAACCAGGATCCATATCCAGAATTCAAAACCAATTATCTAACAGGAACAAAATAAATAAATTGTTAACGAAATGAGAGCAAATGCCATCAAAAATATCGTCAGGAAAAACCCTTATAATTTTGGAGGTGCTTTCATGCCACTTAGGGCTACAAACCTCTGTACTTTTGAGTACACTTTGAAGCTCAAGATGATTCTTACTACTTCATAACCTTCAGCACAAGTACGGCCAGAGTGTTCTTTTCTTGTCACCAACAAATGGTTTTATTTAGTTCGACTCTAGGAGCAAAAGGCCAGTAATTTGATCTCAGAAAAGCCATTTCAAGTTCGCACCTCTTTGAAAGCTTCCCTGAATTCTCCTCCTGGGGCCATTCCCAGCTGTTCTGTGATGTGAGCAGAAACCTTCAGAAGCAGCATTTGCATCAATCCAGACATGACTCCATTCTGGTGGAAGAGGGAGAAAAACATAAACAACAACAACAAAAAAATCAACAAGCTGTGTGGATTTCTCAGAAGAACGCACTGTTCAGAGTCATGAAAAAAACATTAATTATCTTAGTGAAGAAGCAGCACTGAAGCTTCCTTTTGGAGCCAATTCACTGATCAAGACAGCTCTTAACTTCAGTTTGTACTATTTGTGAAGTACCTTTTCACTTCAATGTGTGGCCAAAGTATTCTCCCTTTCAACAAATATGTATGGCAGCGTTAAGGAAAGAAAGGAGGGCAGCCAGACTTACTTCAGTCTATACTTACTCCACCTGCTTGAAGAAAGTGTCTGAATAACTGAATGGTGAAACAGCTCATACCATGCATTTAATTTTGGTTGATCTAGCTGGTTACCAAAAAAAAAAAAAAGGACCACAAGAGTATATTCCATTGAATGTACAGTGAATCCCGTCTTATAGAGATTTCCCTTCCTGAAAGGGAAATAGCTAGTGGTCTAATCATAAACACTTCCACAATCCTGGGAAACACTAGGTTGGGGACTAGTTAGGTTAAAAGACACAGAGAATCTAGCGCTGTGCAAGAAATTGCTGTGCATGACTTCAGTACATAAGACCTTAAAAAAGACCTCACAGTTCTGAGTATGACTCAGTCCCACAAGCAGACTGAAGGCCCCTCCTCACACAGTCTATTACTTTTTGAACAGAGATCTAAAACCAAAACTTTTTTTTTAAAAAATCTCCTACATATATACATATGCAAAATTTCCCTTCCCTATCCTTTTACAAAAAGAATTAAAAACATCTCAAATCCATTCAGAGCTGTTCCTTCTGTCCAGCTCTGGCTGTCCTCAACCAGTTATTTTTATGACTTTTTATGGCTGAGCACTACCTGTCCCCAAGCATAACCTGTACCTTGGTTACACAGCTCCTCCAATTTGTCATCATAGAATCACAGAATGGTTTGGGTT